GGAAAGGTTCTATGCTATGAAATTAAAAACTAAGAGAAGTAAAACTGAAAGGCACTTAAAACCTAGGTACAACAATCTATTCAGGCTAACTGGTTTGGTAGTTTGAGAGAAATCAATATAAGACCGGTTTGATGTGGGTATCAGAATCAGAATGAACCTTGTAAAGGTATCGAATATTGGAATTGTGCAGTTTAATAGTTAGCTCTAACTGCTAGTAGTGGTTTTAGCTGCTGTGGAAGGTATTTGTAGTCTAATCTAAAAATGCATAGGACATAGAAAGATTAGAGGAGTATGTACTACACCCTTCCTAGAGCAACCCAGTAATATGAAAACTCTACTGAGTTATCTATAAAATTAGGGCACAAGTAGTATAGCATATGTTGATTTAAGTAGCCTTTAATTGAAGCAGAACAAGGTTATAGACTAGTATAATTGTAGTGATAGTGCAAGACAGAAACATCAGAGAGTTGAATTAAGTAATCTTCTAGTTAGATTACAGGTATAGCATATACTATAGAATTTTTGGGCAAACGATTTAAATAGGCAACCATAAAATCATGTGACTATAAACCAACCAATAATGATTGAGGTGTTATATAATGTTTATTTAATTTAACCTCTTCCCTCACTGCACTTAAGCTTTGATGAAATTATAATTTCAAACGGCCTTTAAAAAATTTAAACAACTAATCAATTAATTGTTTAACTAGTACAATTCTATGATATTTTGTTAATTAAGCTAATTTGTGTTGACTTTTTGATTTAATTAGCTAAATATATAATGATACTATATGATATAAAAAATCGATTTGTTGCATCTATAGTTGACAACTAACTAACTCGGAACACTAGGTTAGGTACTGCTATATTCCCCAGCAGTTAGTTGAGAATGTGATTAATGAATGCAAAGTGTGCATTACTCAACGTATTTCTAAAAGAGTTCCATCAATGCACTCCATTGTTTTGAAGGTTTTCTAAATCACATTCAAGTATGTGTGTTATATTAACTTTAATAAATAAATTTATGTAGTTAAAGAAAATTTAAATTGCATTAGTTCGATATTATCGGCTCTTTTAAATGTTAAAAGAAACTGTAAATTTATTAAAAACAATTTGGTCCTTGACAATTGGTACTTAGCAAATAAACTTGAACCACTGGGTACTATTTATTATCCTGATCTCAACATTGTACCACTAAATAACATACTTTTGTTAAGAAAAGTAGGTGCCAGGCAAAACCTTACATTCCCAACTAGTAACAATAGAGTATCGACTAATAATCCCAATCTATAATTTTCAAGTTGGCCAAGCTCATAGTATTAGTGAGTACCCGCCAACAGGGTTGGCAATGGAGTTCAATGGAGCCCAATGGAGTTGCGAATGGAACCAATGGAGCTTTGAATGGAGCCAATGGACTCCATTACCAATTCTGCCCGCCAATTATGTTTCTCGAGTAATAAAAAAAACATAATACTGTAATAATAATATTATTATTAATATTAATATTCATTATATAATTTTGTAACATTAGTGTTGCGATAACAATATTGGTACAAGTCAAGACACCTACAAGAAACCTGTCATTGCAAAAAAACAAATTGCGGCAACAAATTATGTTCTTGCAGAAAAAGGTTTAATTACATGGCTAAATTATATACGAATAATTGAATGTATTTGTTTAATATATGAAAATTTAGCTAGCAATTAACGTTAGGTGAGCATCTAATCATTTGATTCGCTTTTTATTTCATAATTTACTTTATTTTAATTAATTTTTCGTTTAATGTATGAAAATTTAGCTAGCAATTAATGTTAAGAGAGCATATAATAATTGATTTTTATTTGCTTAAATTTATTTTATTCTAATTGTTTTTTTCAATCTTTTTTCGCTTTTTAATCGGTAAATGGATACCGATTCTAAAATGACCTACTTCATTTCACGATTCACGAATGACACGTGCCAATTCCGGATCGACCTAAATTCCGTAACGACGCGGAACATATATAGATTAAATCATGTTTTTGATAGTATAAATTTTAATAGACAAAATATTTTAAAAAAAATATACTTGCATATATATAATTTTCGTTTATATCATATGATCATCATATGATAAAACTAATTTTTAATGATTTTATTACCGCTACCATTAGAATCAGAAAAGTCTATTCTACAACTTTACTTAGAAGTATAAAAATCATTAACTTAATAATATTAAAAATTAAAAAAATTACCATCAAGATCATATAAAAATGATCTATGCATATTCTACCCTTAAATCAGTAAATATTTATTCGAATATTCGCCGAATGACTAATATTATCCGAATAAGTCGGCAAAAAGTTTTGAATAACGGTAATTTGGTTCAACCGGGCAAATGAACACGTGCCATTTCGCGACATGTGTCAGCCAATCATTTACCCGATTACCGTTATTCAAACATTTGCCGAATAATGGTGTTATCCGTCATTTTATGGTCATAACTGGTGGGGAGTCGTTGACTGAGTTTTAATTCGAGTAAATGTGAATATTTCGTAACACATGGGAGCGCCAGTAGAAACCAAGCAAATTGTTTTTAGATAGTTTTTTTTTAAATTTTTAAATTAAAATATCTCAACTATTAAAACAAACTTGATAAAATTTTTCTATTTTAATTATATAACTATATAAAATTAAAATAAAAAAATTTTTTATCAAGCTTGGTTTAATAGTTGTTGAGATATTTTTAGTTTAAAGTTTAAAAAAAAAAATTATTTAAAAACAATTTGCTTGGTTTTACTGGCACCCCCTCACATGAAAAAATAACAGACAGAAATAAATTCATGATCATAATACTTTGTCGGATAATAAAATTTATTCGAATAAATTATCTTACTCGAAAAAAATTTGCCTATTCGAATTATTCATTAGATAATTCTTTATTCGAATATTCTCCGAATATTTTCAAGGCAAAGGCTCCATATCTCTAATGCTAATGTTAACGGCAAAGTGAATAGAGCCAGAAATGCACATTAGCCCACATATGGCGAGTCTTATATATTATTAATAAAAGAGTAAGTATTATAGGTTCAAATGGGGACCTAAATTCCAGCATAAGCCAGTCCCAGTATAAGCTGTCACAATATATATATATATATGTTATTAAGTCGTGCTTATACAGTTATAAAAAGGATTATTGTATGTTACCGAATCAAAACTACAAAATATTGAAAAAAAATAAGAATTTTTCAGACTAAAATTAGTAGCTTCTATTTGAATTTAATTTTACAATTCAAACATAATAGTCATCATAACGAAAATTCCCTAGTGGTTCACGAGATACACCGATTGAATCTTCACGATTATATGTTTACTTTTTTGTAATAACGAAGAAGTAAACATAGTTGTGATGACTAAAATCATTAAGGATGACTTAAAAAAAAACTTTTATTTAGAAAGGCTCTAAATTCCAAAAAAGGCAAAAATAAAATCGAAAATACTCACCTTAAAATTAGTTTAACGCAGGCCGATGTCAATCAATCTAGGCCGAATGATCGACAAAACCTGGTAAATTTTTTATTTCTTATATATAGTTATTTTTACTATATACCGATACATGAAAAACAGAAATATTTTTATATAGAAGTAGGGGAACTGGTATTTCCACTCTTGTATATTATATTTTTTGATCGAATTTTTATTGATACTCTATCACTGTCATCCTGGTACGTACTGTACTTACGTACGTACATACAATGGTGCACAAATAGTACTTATTCACCCCTATTGTTTATTCCAAAGGAGTCAATTAGAAATCAATAAGGTTACCTGATTATTGCAAGTCTAACAAATTGGTTAAAATTTTAAATGCACAAACCTAATGAACTCACTATTGAGATTATCAGGTAACCATATTGATTTCTATTGACCTTCTTTGGTGTCAAAATTTGTAAGCAATAGGATATCAATAGGTTTAAATTTAGCACAATCGAACAATCCCTATTGAATAACATTTTACTTATAGTATGGAAATACCGGTTCCTTAGAAACATTAAAATTCATTGTACGTATCAAGTATAGGTTAAATTAATTCAGCAATATAATCTTTAAGGTTGCCTATCCCACATTAATGAATAAGTTTATCACTAATATAATTAATTTAAAGTTATTCTAGCCTTTATAATTGTTATTTAACTTTTCCACTTCAACAAATAGAAATCCTTTGATGTGAAATAAGATTTAGGATTCAGCTTTCGTAAGCACAATAAAGACAAATAAAGAAAAAAAAAGCAAATACAATTTACAGTATATATATTTTTTTAAATAAGATTTACAAAGTTTTTATGTAATATATTAAGTTATTCTATTTATTATCGTTAATTAAAAGTTACAAAATTGATTCGTTCATTAATACCATATTATTTTGTAATTGGAAATTGCAAACGCTTGTTCCAGCACTGTATGCGCCGCAGGCCAACTAATAATCAAATTATATAGTAATATTTATTTGATTAGAAACTCCTAACGAAGAATAAGGAATGTTGATTTTCAGTTTGAATAGATGTTGATTCCTATAGTATTTAGGCCAATATATGAGGTTTCCGAATCATGTGAAAACTATTTTACAAAAAGTCGACCAGATTGATCAACAAAAAATATCTCTTCTACAAATTATAAAAAAACCACATTAATGCTGCATGGGAACACCGTCGAAACAAGAAATAAAACCAAATTTAATCCTAGCAGCTTTTTTCAAGTTTAATTTATAACAAAAAACAAAAAAAAAATAGTACATATACTATGCTATGTATTACAAAAAAAAAAAAAAAAAAGACCATTGATAATACCATTGATAATAATGTCTAGATCTAGATTCTTATAAATACGTACTCAAGATATTTCAAATATCTTAAAATATATTTAACAAATAACAAACATAATTTACATTCATAGTACAAATTGTATCAGTAGTAACCCTTATCTAACTAACTATCATAAACCAATCATTGCGATTGAATTATCAAAATTCAATTTCTAAATGTTCAGATTGGTCCGCTTTAAAACCTAAAATAAATTAAATACTTTATTTCGATTTCGATAAAATGGACATGCAAAATTAAAATATGCATATACTTACTAGTAGCGCTTTCACCAGAAGGAGATGTAGTGCCATCATATTTAATTTCGATTTCTGAAGTCTTACTATTACTTCCGGTTGGTGATTGTGGTGGTTCAAATGTATTCTCAGTTTCTGAAGGTGGAGTATTACATTTAATATCAACATCATCTGGTGTATCATCCTTAACGTCAACTCCATTTGGTGTATCGTACTTAGTATCAATTTCATCAACACCATCAACACCATCAAGAGTATTAACATCATCTTGTGTATCATACTTTACATCGACTTCATTTGTATTAATTACATCGACTTCGTTTGTATTAATTACATCGGGAGAACTACATCTTACCAATTGTGAAGACTGTAGTTCACTAAAATCAAAACTTTGACTAGTATAAAATGCTAATGGATGTATTTGTTCATTTTCCTGAGATGTATGAGAATGAACTTTATGAGAACGCCAATTTTCAGCAAGAGCAAACTCGGTATTAACTTTATATGGAAGCCGCGGAGTTTCAACAATTTTTTTTAACCAATCACAAAGAGTTCTATGCAAAATAATTGCGTCTGGTCTTTTTAAAGGATCTTTATCCCAACATTGCTCCATTAACGCATTCCAACAAGGAGGTGTAGAAGGAGTGTTATCGATAGGTGGACGTAATCCATTACATATTTCCAAAGCGAGTTCGGCATCATGTGCTCTATCATTGAATGGTCTTTTTCCTACAGATATTTCCCACATTATCATGGCAAAACTATAAATGTCTGATGCCTTACTAAATTCCTTACGTAGTATGACTTCTGGAGCAGCATAAGGAAGTATACATTGAACTTTACCATCTTCATCAGAATCATCAACTTTACGACATAATCCTAGATCAGCAAGTGCAATAAAACCATTCTTTAATACCATAACGTTACCACTATGAATATCATGATGAATTATATCTACATGATGGATTGTTTTTAAAGCCTTTACAAGATCACATGTTATAGCCAATTTAGATTGCCATGACATATTTATAATATTTTCATTTAAATAAGTATGTAAATTTCCATTTTCAACATTTTCAAAAACCATAATAAAATTTTTAGTGGCAGGATCCTTGGACATGCCATAACAATGCATAACACTGTCAGTCCATATGATTGAACGATAGTATTTTTCTAGCTAAAATAAATGAATAGACATATATTTATATATTGATTAATATATTGATTAATATGAATACAATATTTATAACATTAAACCAAATAATATAAAGGAGATATCATGATGAAGGTGAGAGTAAGTGAGAGTAATGTGATAAATTGAAAAATCAATCAGCCACAATACGAACACCTTCATAATGACACCTTCATAATGAAGGTATTTTTTCCTCTATATATCTTTGGAAATATATTTATAATATTTATAATTGTTAATACAAACCTCGCTAAAGAAAGACTCTGATATGTTTTGAGAATTGTGTAATTGTCTTAGAATGACTCTTTTGCGAACATCTCTTTTAAATTTCTTTTTTTCATCAGGTATAATTCGAGGACCATCCAGCCATATAGCCGAAAACAACTTTGCATAAGCACCATGACCAATTTCTTTAACCTCTCTAAATCGATCGTATGATATCCATTCAAGATAATTCACTTCGGATGAACAATTTAATTGAGTTTCTTTGATAAAATTGTCAACTATTTTATTACCACTAGTCCATTTTGGAAAACCAGATTTAAATCTTCGTAGTTCACAAACATGACACCAAGGACTATTAGGATCGCCACAAGTACAAATATTTTTAATTTGTGCAACTGGTTTTGGAGCAGCTTTTTTTGCGGCAAGAGTTTTAGAACTCATTGATCCTCTACCATGTGAGTATGGAATAGGTTCACTCTTACCATATGAGAATGGAACAGGTTCACTTCTTGACTTACCATTAGAACCTTGTTCGGAAGAAACCGTAGAATTTGCAGAAATATCGTCTCTATATTCTACTGGTCTGTGTTGTTGAGATAATAATCTTTTAGCAAATTTTTGTTGTTGTAATTTTAATTGTTCTTCTATTGATTTTATTGCTAATTCGATAGATCCATGATGATCATTATCCTCTATTGGAGAAATAATAGAAGAACTTTTTTCAGAATCGGGATCAGTTTTCTCAGATAAGGTTGGAGAAGCTTCCCGAATTCTAATGGGTCTCCTTGGAGTATGAGAGCTTTTTGGAGTATGAGAAATTTTTGGAGTATGAGAAATTTTTGGAGTAGGTGAAACAGATTTATATTTATCATCACCACGAGTTGGAGTTCGAGTTGGGGTTCGAGTAGGGGTTCGAGTCTAACATAATGAATTGTTTAAATTGATAGTAAAAGAAGATAGGACATAAATTAACAGGTAAATAATTTAGTAAATACCATTGCAGACTTCTTTTTCGACGTATCTACTGCGGTCTTAGTAGTCATGATTTGTAAAATGTGTTAACAACTACTATAAATTAAATAATATTTTAACAACTTTTTTTTTTTTTTTTTTTTTTGAGATAGGAATTTGACAAGTGTTTTAGTAAATAAAATTTTTTGATAGTATAAAAAGATAGAATCTTAACAAAGTTTAATATTCCAAAAAAACTTTCGTTGTATACTTTTTTCGCTCGATGGCAGTTAGAGGGATAAAGAAAAAAATTTCGAAACACAGGAGACATGAACTAACTCTAAATAAGGGCAAGCAATGATATTAATCGGTAGCATGTAAACAAATAGACGTTCGTTTTCTTATTGGCCAGTTTCTTACACTAAGAAAGGAGTGTTGAGTAGTGAGTAATTTGCGGGCTTTCGATGATTTTTTATTGTGGATAAGTGATCATCGATAAATTTATACTTTTTTGAGCACTTGTGGAATTGAGAATATGCACTGCCACGCACTAAGTATCCATATGTATTTATAATTGTACCATTACAATCAGTTCTATGATAAATGATAAAGATCATCAGGATCATTGTAACAATCGGTGGGTTACGGAAACGGAGTTAGTCTTTGACATAAATGTGCATTATTTTATTATTGCGTAAATCTTGCTATTAGCATTAGAATGAATAAATAAAACGGCTTATTTCAGACTTTCTTTTTTTTTTATTATTATTATGATGATAATCAAATAATAAATTTGATAAATTTAAATAATTATTATGATATTTTTTAATCGTACTACATGTATTATACGTATAACTCCTGACACAAATTTATTGATAAGGATAAAGGTAACGGTAACGGTAAATGATACGATAATTCGGTAGCGGTAATATACGATAATTTTAAATATCGGCAATAAATTTACCACTCGAGCACGTGACTTGACAAAATGCAACACAAATTTAGTAAAATTACGTAAAGGTACGTACATACTTACGTACGCCTAACACTAATTATAATTATAATAACGATAATAAAAATTATAATATAAAGTATAAACATAGTCTAATATCATACGTAGCAGGTAGTAAGTCTAATACGTACGTACGTACGTACGTACGTAGAAAATAACCAAAATAATATATACATATATGTTTTCTATGATGTTGAATAACCAGAATGTAAATCCGAGTATCCTTTATCCCGATATATTTGTCTGAACTTTCTCCAACGTACAAATAATAAGGAAAAAATAATCAATACAACTACAGAGCTAAGAGATCCAATCGTTGTACCTAATATTATTGCCGTGCGAGATGATATAACACCACTTTTCTGAGGTGTAATTGAATATGAAGGTGTTTGTGTTGTATAGTCTGGTGTGGTTGTTGAAGTGGGAGAAGTGAACGAAGTAGGATTTGTTATCGAGTTATTGGTTGGTGAAGATAAAGGAATTTCGGTATTAGTGGAAGTAACCCATGTATAGTTATTAATGTTAAGGATATATATATCTGATGTTGCACCGGGCGTCTTTGATGTTTGTTCTGTGATATTTCCTATAAAATTGATTCGAAAAGATAAATCAAAAATACAGAAATATGCGAAAAATATTTAAAGTATATGTGGTAATTTACATACCAAATGCCACGATCATTAAGTTGCCTATTAAAGTAGCAGAATGATAAGCTAATGCTGGCGGAATATTGTTAGTGGCATTAGGAAGTGACCACCGAAATGGTGATGTTGAAGTGTCGAGGACAGCAAGCGCAGGGCTGGCGGGAGATAAATTTTGGTCGTATCCGCCAAATACAATGATTCGACCATCTGAGGCTGGAATACGTATAAATATTTAGTCAGTCCAAATAAGTATATCAAATAAATATAAATATATATATATTTATCGTTATACGTAGAATGTTTCTTACCTAGCACTGCAGAATGGCCAATACGAACACCTGGAACAGTTCCAACCGCAGTCTATCGTATAAAGCGAATTATAGAATCATTATATCAAAGGTATCGGTATGAATTGTGACAGATATGTATTTGAATGATAACATTTACTTACAACTAACATCCAAGATGCATTCTTAGTGTCATACGTCCAAATCTTTAAATAGAATGCACATACAAATGCATAAGATTAGCGAATATGGTTAACAGAAAGTTTATTTAAGATAAATCATGAGCACGTACATACCTGATCCATATTAATATAACTTTTAGTCTTTGCTGATGCTGGATTGGCCTGTCTTCCGCCTATGTATACGATGATAGAATTATTCAATATTGTAGCGGTGAAATCAGCTCGTAGCGGAGGTGCTTGATTTTTGGAAGTCGAAACTTTCGACCAAGACATTCTGATGATATCTAAAATGTCCATATCGTTGAACCATTTGACTTTCGTTGAGCCTGTTGAGTTATCAGATAATCCTCCAAACATATACACGTTGCTTGAATTGTCCTGTACAATCTGAAATTCTTTTCGTCTTTTGGGTAGAGTCCCTGAGATTTCTGGCGTGTTCCACTGTTGAGTTTTTGTGTCAAATTCATATATCACCGTATCAACACTAAGCGTAGTACCTTTTATAATAAAAATAATGTTTGCCATTATTGATGACTTGATTCACTTCAAGAAATCAATCACATACCACATGTTAAAATAACATATTCTTACTCTTATCTATCATTACGCCTCCAAACGCGTATATGCTAGTGTAGTCAGGACCAGCCAATGCGCTAACCTGCCAGCAAGTATTTACTGGACTGCCAGCAATAGTCGTAAGGTCTGTCCATGGAATATTGCCTTGCGTGTCAAACGAAACCGAAAGATCTAAATAAAATACACTATTTTGACAACCCTCTGTGCCATCTGAATTTTTACTCCAACCTCCCAAAAAATATAACTTTGTTCCAACTAAGATACTATTAACGAAGTATCTGGGTGAAGGAGTATATGAGTCAATTCGCGTAATTAAATTAAGGAGCGAAATATATAAAAGGAAAGAATAGACGATGCGAAATGACATTTTAAAGAATGCAACAATGATATGTGCTTTCAATCCTATTTATAAACATTTAATCAAATAAGGTTCCTTTTAAACAAAGTAATCTAACAATAATTTATGACCCTTGTCATTTATATTTGTTTAACCATCTTCAGTTTTTATTTTTATATTTGTTTAACCTACTTGCGATTTATTTATTTACTATTATTATTATTTTTTTTTACCATTATCGACTGAAATAAGGAATATAAAATCTTAGCATTTATTACGATACCATTATTCGGTTTTCACTATATTGAGGCAAACCGATGTAATACGTAGTGACTGGATACGTAGCTAGGCATTAATGAATGATTGCCTAAATAAAGTTCAAATTAGTAGAACAAATTCTATGACGATACTTTTAGTCAATATATGTTATGCATAGTACTGTCAAAGAAGTAGACTAGTATTTATTTCCAATTTGACATTTAACGAAACGTTTTAAGAAAATACTTAGACGTACGTACGTACGTACGTACGTATCTCGGCCACAGTAAATAATTAACGCCAGAGATTTTGTTTTCTTTTTTTAGAATTCCTTGTAGCGTGTACGTTTTTAATCATCCAATCATATGAAAAGAACATGTAAATTTTCTTTATTGTTTGAGTTGTGTACCAATGTGGCATTTAATTTCAATGTTAACTAAATAAAGCCTTGTTTATAATAAAAGTTTCGCCGATTACTGTGATCATAATTACAAGGTATTATTTTGGCGATTTTCGATTTGTTGTGCTAGTTATTGTACGTTACGTACGTTATTTAATATAATTAATTAATTAATTAATTTCGAAATTATGTTCAATATTAGTTTAAATTGATATATACACTGTCTTACAGATAAATTTGCATGCAAACTGTCATAATGATCGATGATCGAACTATTAAACTATTTTTGATCGTATGTAGTCTTCAAACATTTAACTTTGCATTCTGCATTCCAAAATTTTGAAAGTATAATACTACAGATTACATACTTTATGAGTAATACGTATGAATGAATAACTGATAAATATATATATTTAATTATATATGAATTATATTTTCATCCGGGTTAAAATCACTCGATAATCCAGGGGCTTCTGAAATTCGAAATTTCTAGTACATAAAAGTCAATGCATAAAAGTTTTTGTCGGTCAATAGTTGACTTATGTAAGTAGAGCTATATTGATCCGCCTAAAATTTTTTAATCGTTTAACCGTGTTAATCGTTTAACCTAACTACCATTAGAATAATTCCGGCCAACAATGAATTAATTTTTAACATGCCCAGGGTTGTTAGTGGTAACTTACCATGGTAAGTTACTATTTTTTGGTAACTTACGGTAAAGGCTTGCATTGGGTCCCGGCCCGGGCCGGGCCGTGCTTAATAATTAAATTTTATAATTGCGGGCCGGGCAGGGCCTAGAATTTTACAATTGCGGGTCAGGCCGGGCCAGACTAAATTTAATATCGATATCGATATAGTCAAATCTCTTTAAGATATAATTAATATAGAATAAACTTTATATAGTTATAGCTATATATATTTTTTTAAATCGCTATAGTACTTGAATTTTTATTTAATGCCATGATATATACCTTAGTGCTATAGTATATAAGTTGTGTTACATTAATTTTAATGCTACCCACCCTAGCAATTTAGTTGTAATTTTTTCAAATTTGAAATTAATTTATAATATTACATTATTTATTAATCTTGGGATAGAGTACAATCCTTTATGCTAGAGCTTTTTATACCTACAATCTAGACAACCTAAGCTTTAGTAACTTATACTGAAACTGAGGACAAGTACTTGCAGCTTTTTATTTCTGTTACTGTTATCTACTTCTGTTTTTATAGAGTTTACTAAACTCAGCACTCAATGAATTAATTCTCTTTTCTTTATAGCACTATCAGAAGTTTGTATTATTTTTTTATTCAAAATTTGTCAAATAAGCATCTTATCATTATATTGGCTCTGTAGCCTTTTATAATCTTAAGGACTTATTATAGATTTTATTAACTAAATCAGCTTGTATATTTTTGTATAACTTTATTATACAAATGTTCTAAAATCTTTCAATTTTGGCTTTTTCTAATTAAATTAATCACTATTATTTGATACAACCACAATTACAAGGTTTTGAGTTTTTTCAATGATAATTGCAGAATTTGTTTTTTCAAATTTTAATTTTATCTTCTATAGGAATTAAACTTGTATTCAACTACTCAAAAATGCAATAACTTGATTACTTTACTAAGTCACTACATTTTTATTATACCTATATTAAAAATAATGAGATAATCTATAGAATAGGTAGGCAATATAATAAATAAGCTTCACTAATGATTAGTAATCATTAATTTTTTAATAGCAGAGTTGCAGAATTTGTAGAATTTGTCCACCTATTCTATAGAACATCCAAATAATACCTTGTAATTATAGAAAAGTTTTATTAAATAAAATTTTTTTAATTTAATATTAAAAATAAAAAAATAGCAAGCGAAACCAAGATAGGAGTAGGTTGGACCCTACAAACGCAAAAAGAAAAACCATTAAAGAAGGTAGCAGAGTTTAACTGCGCTATGAAAGGCTGGCCTTCATCAACAAGAGCAGAGCTAGGTGCAATCTTGACTGTGCTGTTAGTCTTGC